CTAACTAACGGATCTGAAGGGAAGCTTTGCGCTGATCTGTTCAACAAGTTCATATACTACTAGAATAGCGAATGGAATAGTCCGTAAGCACTCGAGGCCTTGCTGATATCACGCAAGTAAGGACACATTGGAGTGAACGGGTAAGTTCTACTCCAACATGCACCCCAGTCTCCGACCAGTAGTCACATGGACAACAGGAATTCCTTGCCTATGACTCAACTTTGGATTCTGTGCTGAGTATCCCAACCCACATTCCGCAATTTGACAAACTGAAAATCGAATGAATTACCAACCGTTTAACTTATTTCGAAGATTCGGTTTTCAAGCGATTGCGGCTGGAGGGTCTTCCATTATTTCGACCTTCATATTTGTATCGAGCATTCTTTGAACTGAACACCTTCTCAAGGTTCAGAAGGCCTTTATTTTGTCTACACCATTTTCCTTATACTGAATGTGAACTATGTGAGTTTAACGTCCATTATATCCCCGACTCCTGGCAGTTTAGAAAACACCATGCTCTCATAACTACCCCCCTTCCGAACGCTTCGATGGAACAATCACACCGAAATCGCAACATGTGGTGAGGATTGAATTGTCCTGAAGCCTTTCACCACCATTCGACTAAGTCAACCGAAGTTCGATTAGAAATATTTTTCTGAAGCTTATTGTGTAATTTCATCAAATTAGTTACCATGTGGTGTGAACAATGTGCGAGTTGTCGAGTAAAGTGGTAAACCACGTGCTTCGTGGTATGACCCCGATGAAGACGAGTCGTGGCAACCGGCTCACTCCAATCATTTTGTGATTGACAAGTCCGGACCTCTCATGATAAAAGAAACAACAGCTTGCACACAGACACAATTTTTCTTATTAGTCTATTCATTGGACGAAAGCCATATTACACTTTCCTGTCGCTCACAAACATCTCCACCACCAAGTTCACCTTTGTGAAAAAATTGATAATCACCAGCTATATTACTTTCTGATTCCCAATAAACTAATTTATGAAGTCATGATGAAATCTAAGAATACTTCCATAGTTAACACGTGTGATGTTATGTACCAATCACTGTTCGTCACTAATTGAAACAAGGCAGCTGTTCTTAAGCTTTCTTTATACAATGATGAATGATAATTTACCGGCGATTCCGAGGGGTTTCGCTGGTGCTGGCATCGGTTAGACTCAGATGATCAATGGTATCAGATCCACGGAGTCCAGGCGGGGAACCCCACTGTTTTAAAATTCATCTGTTGTATCTTAGCTGCTGAACATGAAGTAGAGCATTGGCCAGCTTGTGATCACTATTTGTTGCAAACAGATTTCAGTCGGTAACATGAAATCTGACTGGTCAGCAGATATCGGTAAAACGTGGATGGATTGAAATACTTGACGTAGAAGGTGAATCATTTGTGCAACACACGACAAGAATAGTAGCGTCCAACTGAAGACGAAACTAGGTGCTGCATTCGTGCTTGCCTGCATAATGTAAATGGTAATCTTCAAGCTGTTTGATACCAGGTAAAGTGTAATAAACTGGTCGTATGGTGCCAGTTTCATGGGAATAGCCAATACAAGGCTTAGAACTCTGACTCTATTCATACATACATAACCCCTGTGTCCCTAAGCTCACGCAGTATGTTCGTAACATGACTAGTGGCAATGCTATCCTAGATGGTCGAACGCTATTGACAGTTTCAAACACGCGATGGCTCTAGCGCTGGTATTGACCAGGGGAAATACAATAGTCCCCCAGAGCAAAAGCGATTCACGGAGAAAAACCCAAATGCTTCTTACGAAGGAAATTATTCGGGTCACAATCGTATACAATCACAATGGTAGAAACACTGTTTAGTCCGTATGCATCTCCAGTGGTGCCTCTCAAGAGCCAATCCTGAAAAAGTTAACAGTGCGACTCCCAGTAGTAATCCTGCTGGGATGTAAATGGTGCATACGCGAATGATTCAATATAAACCCTGTTAACTGCAACTCTTTCAGTTAGAAAATGTGATGTTCAGCAATAAATATGTTGTAGGTGGTGTCACTGATAGTCTAACTTCCACAAAATAATATTTCGACCACTTTTTTTAGAAAATTTCCTACTGGTATTGGCATTGCTTGGAAAGGCTAGGTAACGTTACAGTAGTCTTGCTTGATCTGGGGACTGTCCGGTAACGAAATTAGTCAGTAACATGGCTGAAAATGGCTCGTAAACAGCAACACGATACTTGCGTAACCTTCTGCTAGCGGTCAATAATTTTCAGTAATATGCGATTTGGTAGCAGATTTATACATGTGGGAACAGTTCTTAGCGAACATTCACAACAATCGTAATTGGATATCTCTCGAAAGAGAATGATCATGGCCACTGAAGTGTCCACAGGCGTGAGGTACCCCAAACAAAATAACGGTTGCCACTTGATTTTTCTCACTCCACTCCAATCCGACTCTTTCAGGCAAAATGGGACCTTCTTGGTCTAGAGAAGCTACAATCCTAGCCTTTGTTTATGGGCTTTCTGTCAATCTGCCTGAAGAGAAGCACCTCATTTTTAATTTTTCTCACTCCACTCCAATCCGACTCGTTCAGGCAAAAGGGGACCTTCTTGGTCTAGAAATGCTACAATCCTAGCCTTTGTTTATAGGCTTTCTGTTAATCTGCCTGAAGAGAAGCACCTCATTTTTGCGTTAAAAATTCTACCAGTTAGATATGAGCATCTGTTGGAACGATTGCTAGTTCGGATAAAGTTGTTTTTTTCACGATATTTTGAACCCGCAACAAACCTCTATTAAAGTGCTTTGATCTGGCATCCATAGTTCTTGTGAGCCTGCATTTATTTGGTTCAAGTGCAGATTTTCGCTTTGGTGGGTGTTAAATTCCGGTCGAATAAAGACGCCTTACCTGCGTCTTCTGTAAGTGTTATCATGAGAAGTATATTGATTTGGTTTTACCAGGAGACTCAGCTGAATCCGGCTGAATTTCTCTTTGATGGTATCCTTTTTCAGTTGAACTGGTTCAAGTAGGTGGAAACTTGGGGATGGCGTTTATCTGATAAAACCCGAGAAGGGCGAAAAAATCTTGGGCTATCGAAGAGCCTATGGCAGTCATGTGTGTAGTATGTTACGTCTAGGGTTGTACTCATATTTTGATGGGGAGTGATTATAAACAAATAGATGAAATTTCGAAGCTTCCTACCGTTTCTGGAAATTGGTGAATGAACAAGTCGTTTAACTGTCACTATTCCGGGAAATGGTGCTACTTACCAGTTGTCTCTCCTGTGCAGTCCGCACGCAATCTAACGCATTCTAAAGCGCGCGGTGAAGGGAGAAGTTGCTATAAAGCATTTCCTGAAAGCTCGGATGGCGCGAATCAATGAAACAAAGTTTATATGCATGTAGGAGATTTGAGATCTCAACTAGCCTTACCCAAAATTAGAATCGAACAGATTTTCGACTCGAGACGATTGTTGCATGCAAGAGAGTTGTTCGCTCCGGTGTTTTGTCTCAGTCCAGAACTCAGTTCCTGGACACATTTCTATCGAATTGAGTATTCGTGGGAAGCTATAATTGTACATCACTTCAATTTATCATGGAATCATAGGTCTTTTATCGTTTTCTTGTTGCCTACGCATCTTACCTTTAGCTCCGGTTTTTTTAAAGAATTCTATCATTCCTTTACTACACATAGCTGCAACCCTAGTAACCTCGTAGCAGAAGGGTGAGTAATTCATAGTGACAACGATCGATTATTAAGGAAGGTTATCGTGTCAAAACAAAGCTTAGTGGGCCCAGTCAAATTTCCAAAGCGGGCGATTGGGTTCGAATGTCCTCATTGAGCTGATTGTGGACTAAGGTGGACTACATTTGAAGGCCTCAACCTTCATCTTGTGATCTGGACAACCTTGCTGGACAGTCACTATGATTTCCTGTTTACCGCAGCTGTTAGACGAATACATAAATTTCATCGTTCTCATCGAACCCATTCATTGAGCAAACAGATTCTCTTCATTTGCCTTCTGTGTGAGCAACTGCGTTTTTCATTGCATACACGAATACGCACAAACGTTCACACGGTGATCTTTTCACTGGTCACTCTTATCCCCTCTACCCCAGCGGGACTTCGATTTATAGCACGCGCCTTTCGAACTTTTGCCTGGAAGCCCAAACTGTTGTTACGATCCTGTTAGGCCACGGTTACCCGTGATGCTTGTTCACTCCCAGTGAAGCGTGAAGTGAAAACATGCGTGTGTCCAAGACAATCCTAACACGAATTTTTCTGCTTGACTGAGTTTGAACGAACAAGTTAGATTTCACCTTTAGTAAATCCGATTGGGAGAAAATCAACAAGAAAAACTAGGTTTTGCCATAGCTGTCGTTAGGCGCTGGGTAGTGAGTTGCATAAAAATCTACAGAGATTTACCGACGCGGTGCATCATCGATGAGCAGTAGGCTCATATCACATGCCAAAGCGCGGTATCTCCATCTCATATCGCAGACCAAGTAAAAAAGACGGAGTTCATACTTTCTATTTTCGTAAGAACAAAATAGGGAAATCACCTTAGGACGTAATGATTCTTCATGCAAACACTGACTGACAACGGTGTTTTTTAACGAAAAACAACGCGTAAAAAGGGATGTGCTTGTAGGTCGTCTTTGGTTTATCACTGTAGCGGAAACTTGCAAATCTTCAAAAAAACTGAGTTTCAAGTTCAACGCCACAGAATTGCATGGTGATGTGTACGTCCAAAGTGAAAGAGAACAGACTACTTTGTGATCTTAATAGAGATTTCATCATTGAAGCCAGCTTGTGCTGAAAAGCCTAGAGGCACAAACTGAATGACCGCATCATTCTTGTTGGGAACCATTCCGTGAATAATAGATTAAATTGAGGAGTAACTTTGCAAGTCTAATTCAATGGACCTGTCTCGTTTGATGAGCATGGTGGATGTGGTAGGTTGTTAGCAAAGTACACTCATTTGCAAACAAATTTGGATTTGTGACAGTCTCACCTGGTGAAAGATGGTTCAATTGGTTAGAACGCAAATTTATTAACCGCAAGGTCCGTGGTTCGAACCCAACCTCCGTCTCTCAACTTCCCATGTCTAGGCCTGGGCAACCTGGCAGTAATCCAGTCCTCGTGCTTTTTTCGAGTAGAGTAGCAGCTAGGCAACGGAAGGGTGTTACAGCTGAACGATTTCCTATACGTAGAACCCAAATGAATCTCTCGTTTAAAAACACCTTAAAAGAGGTATTCACCTGGAATCCAGGTGAGTCTTTCGAAAATCCCAATTTAATTTAATCGCTAATTTCGTGCAGTTTGTGTTCAAGTAGAACACAAGATTGACGGAAACGCGGGGACTGCACCTAACCTGATGTGCTCCAAGAAGGGTGAAACCGGTAGAACACATGACGGAAACGCGGGGACTGCACCTAACCTGATGTGCTCCAAGAAGGGTGAAACCGTTCGTGAGCTATCCAAGAATTTTCTTTCATCTTATGCGTAGTGATGGAGTGTATTTGTTCGGATGGAATGGATGGGTGTTTCAGAAGCCCTAAGATGCGCTACGATATTCATAAAGATTACGAAGGGTCTTCAATCTCTTATTGCGGATCAGAAAAACCTGGTCATCTTCTAACAAGCGTCACCGAGCCACATGGTATATCCATTTTGCGAGCAAATCCGTGTGCTAACATTTCTGGCGAGAACCTGGTCCTAAATTTCCGAACTCCACACTCACAAGGAGGTGCACTTGCGTGGTGAACTGGCTAGCTGGGGTCCTACAGTGTTGGGGCACGTTAAGTCACATTCTTGGGAACCACACGGCAAGCCATAGTTTTCAAGTTGGCATGCAAACGTTCTCCAAGAGCCTAGTAATTTAAATTTGATGGTAGTAACAACTAAATAATGTAACCACTAACATTGCTCTGAAGAGTCAATTTTATATGAATAATTTGCGTGCCGCACAAGAGAGGTCTTTTCGCAAAGGCATGTAATTATCGACAGATTAAAATACGGTATAACCTGAGTCTTCACATTGGTGTTTCCTAGATGAGATTGCCAGAGTCAAAGTAAGGATGAAATACATCTTAGTAATTCTGAGTAATTTTTTGTTTTATCCTACATTTTTAGATCCCAGCTCACACAGAAACTTGCTTCTGGTCCACCGGAAGATAGTAGGAACCGATAGAATAATTGCTGTTTGCAGTGTACCTGCTCTGAAGGACACATGGTTACGACCATATTTGTCTAGTCAGGGTGGGCCGCAGTGCATACACAGCCAAGGCTACTCGAGCCACATGATTGTTCCATTGTAGACTGAGATTTATTGCCAAAGCAGTGCAGAATAGTTGAGTGGACGAGACCGAATTGCTGTTAAGCATTATAAGATAGGCTTTCCAACGTTTAACTTCGATTCACCATTGGATGAGAGCCCAACCACGGTCGATAAAACAACCGAACTTATGTGTCCGTATAGAACAAAGAAAGAAATTACTGAAATTGACCCTCCAAGCAGAACCTTGCTTGATGTAGATCAACCTTCAACATATTTAGAGAGCAGCTTCTGCGGACAAATGAAATATATGAGAAACATATGATCACACTGACCATTTGGCTTGTTCATAATTTTCAGGCGTCATTTTGATGTTCAGATTAGCAAAAGGCACCTGTAATTTCCGTAGCACGAGGCCATCTCGTTGACAAGTTCGTCAACGGTACAATCTCAATCAGGTGTTTCGCGTAGCATTTGTTGATTTATGTACATTTTCGGGTTTCTAATTGAGCGCGAACTACACCTGTCACCGAAAAACTCCAGCCATACACAAGTCTTTGCATCAAACTCGAAGAAAAGAGGAATAGAGCAGTGCCCTCAATGGTTTAGTGAGCTCATGCATATGGCATTAAAGTGATGACTCAAACTATCGGGCGGCATGTTAGGTCTGGGAGAGTTACTTTAGTTTCTGAAAAAAATATCAGCTGAGGTTTGCTGTCGACACAGTGTCGTTAAGTGATGTTGACGTTAAAACAAGACCATGTTTTAACAAAGCCTGTCAACATAATTAGTGCACCAGAAGAAAAAAAACAGGGGTCAGTTTGTAATACACTACTCATAAGATTGTAGAAGGCACTTCGACAGCCCATGACCGGTTTCGCCCCTCTTGGGGCTCATCAAGTAGGTGCAGACCCCGAATTTTCACTCAACCTTATGTTCTACTTGAGCACAAATTGCATGAAATACACTACTTTGCATGCCAGTTTTGTTTTGATGGGAGACTTACCTGGACCCCAGCTGAATCTCTCGTTTGTGAAC